GGGGATGGATGTGGTCGGTCCTCTGCCAACTGCAAGAGCTCAGAACAAGTATGTGTTACTGGCCACGGATTACTTCACTAAATGGGTGGAAGCAGAACCATATCCTAGCGTGACTCAGACTCATGTGAGACGATTTATTTGGAACAATATTATCTGCCGTTTCGGTGTTCCCAGATCAATAGTCATGGACAATGGCACAAACCTCGACAGCAGGCAAGTAAGAAAGTTGCTGGAGGAGTATGGAATCAACCAGAAGTTGGCTGTAGTAAGTCATCCTCAGGCCAACGGACAAGCAGAAATCACAAACAGAACCATTTTCGCCTGCATTAAGAAGAAGCTGGAAGATCATAAAGGGAAGTGGTTGGATGAACTCCCGAACGTTCTATGGGCTTACAGAACCACCCCAAGGCGGCCAACTGGGGAGAGCCCGTTTGCAATGGCGTATGGTACCGAGGCAGTTATACCGGTTGAGCATTTAGTCCCCACTATCAGAAGCTTAGCATGGAGTCGAGATCAGAACGACAAGGTGTTAAGATTGAACCTCGATATGATAGACGAAAGGAGGGACACAGCGGCTATAAAGTTAGCATCGTATCAGCAAGTATTGGCGAATAGTCACAACAAAAGAGTAAAACACAGGGATTTTGCCCCTGGCGATCTGGTTCTGAAAAGAAAGGTGGGGATGGTCAAAAAAATGATGCCACCCTGGGAAGGCCCATACAGAATTGCAGAAGTCATAGGCAAGGGGGCATATACGTTGGAAACCATGGCGGGAGGGTTAGTCAGCAAGCCCTGGAACGCCACGTCTCTGAAGAGGTACTACCAATAAAAGCTAAGTTTCGGCTTTAATTGGATGTTGTTTGTTGTCAATCAAATACGTATGAATGTGCAAGTTACTGAAATTTACAAAAAAAAATAACTTTCTTTTCCAACGGCCTACTAAAAAATGAAAAGCCAAGTGGCAAGTGGCATTCTAGCCGAGCGCCAGGCACTTAAGCAAGATAAGTGGCAGCTGGCACTATAAGCCGAACGCTAGACACTTGCTAAAAATTTAAAGCCAAGTGGCAAGTGGCATTCTAGCCGAGCGCCAGGCACTTAAGCAAGATAAGTGGCAGCTGGCACTATAAGCCGAACGCCAGACACTTGCTAAAAATTTAAAGCCAAGTGGCAAGTGGCATTTTAGCCGAGCGCCAGGTACTTAAGCAAGATAAGTGGCAGCTGGCACTATAAGCCGAACGCCAGACACTTGCTAAAAATTTAAAGCCAAGTGGCAAGTGGCATTCTAGCCGAGCGCCAGGCACTTAAGCAAGATAAGTGGCAGCTGGCACTATAAGCCGAACGCCAGACACTTGCTAAAAATTTAAAGCCAAGTGGCAAGTGGCATTCTAGCCGAGCGCCAGGCACTTAAGCAAGATAAGTGGCAGCTGGCACCATAAGCCGAACGCCAGACACTTGCTAAAAATTTTTAAGCCAAGTGGCAAGTGGCATTCTAGCCGAGCGCCAGGCACTTAAGCAAGATAAGTGGCAGCTGGCACCATAAGCCGAACGCCAGACACTTGCTAAAAATTTAAAGCCAAGTGGCAAGTGGCATTCTAGCCGAGCGCCAGGCACTTAAGCAAGATAAGTGGCAGCTGGCACCATAAGCCAAACGCCAAACACTTGCTAAAAATTTAAAGCCAAGTGGCAAGTGGCATTCTAGCCGAGCGCCAGGCACTTGCCATAAACAAACACACGGCAAAGCTAATATAAAAGAAAAGAGAGAAAAGATATATATGTATTGAAAATAGGTTGAACAGAGCACAACACAAAGGGAAAAATAGTTCTGTCATTTCATTGATATTAAGCATTGAGTTTACAAAAAGTGAGATGTCCATCGTTACAAAAAGATATGGAATGGAAGAGTCCAAAGGAGCCCTAGCTAGACGCCTCAGTACCAACAGCATCCTGGTTGTGCCGACCCGCCTCCTCGGCCCCATCAGCCGTCTCACCTTCACGAGGTGGGGAATCAAGATGAATGACTGAATCGTTCGGCTGGGGCTCAGCGTCAGCAGTGGCTATGGAAGGTACCACAGTTGACGATTGAGGAGCGGTCAGAGGCAGAGCGGTAGGAGGAGCTGTGATGATCCTTGAGGAAGCAATGTCCTGGCACTCATCGAATATGCGCTTCGCTTCGGTGGGTTCTGGGTCGACATAGACCCCCAGAGGTTCGATCCCTAGATCCTTGTCGACCTCATCTGGAGTGGAACTGGTCTGTCCCTCATCCGGAACTCGGTCGGCGAAACCTTCCCGGAATCCTTGAGCATATCTAAGAGCACCGACCCTTGAGAACCGAGCGTAAAGAGCCAGCATCCCACCGCTCACTCTGCTGATCGCATCAATCAGAGCGGTACGCTCGTCCAGAGCTCTTTTCTCAAAAGCCATCCGAGCAGACTGTTCATCAGCCAGAAGGCGCTGGAGTTCTGCCTTTTTGTCTCTGATTGAGTCACGCTCAGTCTGCCAGACGCTCTTTTCAAGCTGGAGGGCATCCTTCTCATCCTGAAGAGAGTCATTCTCCTTCTTCAGGACATCTCTCTCTTGTTCAGTTTTTTCAAGCTGAGCCAGTACCTCGGTATTCTTCATGGCGAGAAGGTCGTTTTCTTTATTAGCCACCTCCAGGCTATCAGAAAACTTACGAGCCCTGGCGTTCCCCATCTCCACCTGCTTCTGCATAGCCATCATTCCGAACAATGTCTGCATAGGTGTACATTAAGAACGGTTAAGCCAATAGTCAGGTCGGGCGAAGGCAAGACCAAATAATATGAGAGAATTCATGAGTTGGAAAATAAAAGTCACCTCCATAGCAGATTGGGGAAAGCGGCTGAACACATCCTTCTGGGATAGGCCCTTTGCCTCCTCAAGGTCTTTCGGAGTCCACATGCTCCTATAGTACGCCATGGCGGTCTGGCCATCCTTCAGCATGGTCTAGTTCGGTTTCACGAACGTCCCATCCGTTCGGGTGTACCGAGGGGCCCATGGCGGTAAGGTGGGGATAGAGAGGGGCCTGAAGCAGAAGCGGAGCCACCAGCTGCAGTAGGCCCAGAGGGAGCAGGAGCTCTGATCGCACGGTGCAAGAGAGCACCCGGCCCGGAGACCCGGGTCCTTCTTATGAGAGGCTCCTCCTCAGGATCGACCTCACTGTCAGGATGAGGCCTTTTGCCTCGTTCTTTGTCCCGAACGCCCCCCGCAGCAGCAGGAGCTGTGGTAGTTTGGGGAGACGCGCTCTGGTTGGCAGCAGGGGTGCTGACAACAGAGTTAATAGCCACTGTGCTCGGGATAGTGTCAGAGATGGTGGCTGAGGAAGAGGCTGATGCTGGAGAGGAGGTCGCCCCAGCAGCAGGAGTGGCTGGAGGAGTATTTTTCTTCCTGCCAAAAGAAGGAATCTGAAGCCTGCTCATGTTGTAGCCGAGTGATGAGAGCGCTAAGAGGTTGTCTGAAGTGAGGAGATCTGAGCAGGAAGGAATATCGTTCAAAACGTATTTCTTCAAGTAATTACTCCTATCCCTGCAAACACTGTAGCTCAAGTCATCACAAGGTATTCCTAAGGAACGGCATAAGAAAGTACAAAAACGGGGAACGCATGTTTCGCAGGGGTAATCATGTTTATGAGATTTGAATTTCTTATAGGAGGAGACAGAACAGACACCAAAGGCGCTCGGGATTGGGTAACCCTCTGCAGCCGGCGAAGACCAAGCCCCACTAATGCCCACGATGCTATCCCTCCAACCCTTTTCAGATTTTATTGTGTCCGTACATATGGACATCTTCTTGAACGGGTAGAGGTGGTAGAAGGGTTCGTTAGTACGGATCTTACTGACCTTATAGCACAGAAGAAGGTCTATGAGGTCAAGGTCCAGATTTCGGTCACGCATCAACAGGAGCATAACGGATATGATTCTAAAGAAGTTGGGGTTGACCTGCAGGGGGGATATCCCCAATCTATTGAAGACATAACTAAAGAAAGGGTGCAGAGGGAACCTAACAACATTCAATTGAAGGTTCGTGAATAAGACTTCGCCGGGCAGGAGGCCGGCATCGGTCATAATGTTAACATCCTGAGGGCAAACCCTAACTTCGATGTTGTCAGGAAGTCTAAGTCTCATACGAAGAACATCCAGATCTACAACCATGGTGGAAGTGCTTGAAGGATCTAAAAGGGGGTAAATAGAAGCCTGCCGAAAGTAAAAAGGAACAAAACTAACCTCAGAGGACTGCAAGATCGCTGGAAGAATGACTCTTGAAGGATTTCACCAGAAAAAGCTTAGCACTGTTCTAGAAAGAGAGAGATTTGACTGATGATGGAGACGGTAAAAGGACGTGAAGTGGTATTCTAGAGCTTTATAAAGGCGAGGGGGGCCCGAGGGCCGAAGCGTCGGGAAGGCGAGAAATTCCTCGAGCCCCGGAACATTGATTCTGGATCTGACCGTCCGTTCCCCCACGTGGTTTTCTCGAGCCGTCAACGTCATGATGAGACGCCATCAATAATTACCCCCTTATTAAATAAGGGGCAATTATGGGGGCAGTTGAGGAGGCCCAGGACGACATGGGCCGGATCTGACTTGCAAGCACGACATCCGGTCCGTACAGCTGGGTCGGCCCATAAAAAGACACTGCCATATGGGCCGAACGCGAATAAGCCCATCAAAGGTGGCCAGGACTTATGGAGGAACAGGCCCAGATCCAGCAATCCGTCAATATTTGTAAATATCTTTTAAATATCTTTTAAATATCTATAAATAAGGGAAGGAATGAAAAGAAGAGGAGAATCTTTTGGTTGAAGTGTAAGAATTCTAGAGAGAGAAAGAGGGAATGAATTTCTTGCATCTTCAGAGACGAATCAATCTATCAATCAGATAATAAGTTTCTCTCTTTCTTGTTTCAGCTAGCATTTTGTATAAATCAGAAATGGTGGACAAATTCTGAAAACTCGGATGATGGAATACATCAATCGTATAATGCTCCAACTAGCTTCTCAAAGCACGCATCTCATCTTGAAAATCCTTAGGATAAAATTTCCCTGTAAGATCGCAAATACCATCAACTTTAAATGATTTATAAGTATCTTTAGGATCCAAAGTTGTGCCAAGAATAAGGAGTTCCATTGTACTTTCAGAGAATCTCTGATTTAACTCCATCAATTGAAAATCTATAGCAGCATTGAAAATATCAACTTGATAGTGATGATTAAATGTAATACTATCGTTTTGTTGACAAGAACGACCTGTACCCACCGTATAAGAAGCACTCATATCAGGTACTACAATGTCATGCTCTTTACAAAATGATTCCACATTTTGAAAGAAAGTATGCCACCCATTTTCTCTCAAATTTTGAAGGAGTGCATTCGTACTTGAAACAAGGTTCATAGCATTTACAATGTCTTGAGTTTTTCGTTGCAATGCTTGACAAAGTATATCAGTAATTCCCATCATCTCACGCAACAAATGCAAGATAAATACAAATTCAAATGATAGCATTGCAAGATAAACACCTTTTGCTTCCCCACGTATAGAATTAGTTAGTCCATTCTTTGAAAGATTTTCAATAATTGTACGAGATGGACCAAATAAGTCTATCAAGCTACTAACAGAACCAAAATGAGAGCTCCATCGAGTGGCACCTGCTCGTTGCAAAGTCTTTAGCTCCTTTACTACTCTGAAGTTCACAAGTAGCCAACTTATTAGGGGATAAAATCACTTGACTTGATTGTAACTCACTATGACGCTTAGGAGAAGCACTGACAAGATTGACAATAGAATTCAACTTGGAAAAGAATAGCCATATATCTTGCACATCTTTGGATGCAGCAACTAATGCTAGTTGTAGTTGGTGAGCAAAATAGTGTACATAATATGCATATGGACATTCTTTAAGAAACAACGCTTGTAATCCATTCCATGCCCCACGTATATTGCTCGCTCCATCATACTCTTGGCCTCGCATGTTATCAATTTAGAGATCATAAAGAGCAAGGACATCTGATATTTCTTTTTTAAGAGTTAAGGCAGTGGTGTCTTTAATGCCTACAACTCCAAAAAAGCTTTCTCTAAGCAAACCATTCTTATCAAAAAATCTCAATACAATGGCCATTTGCTCTGTATTAGATAAATCTTGTGCTTCATCAACCAAAATACAAAAATTTGCATCCCCAACTTCTTCATGAATCTTACGTTTCACCCTATTGCCAAGAATATGTAAAACCTCTTTTTGAACCATTGGCGAGAGGTAATTTGCATTTTTTGGTGCATTCTTTAAGATAACTTCAGCAACTTTGTCATTTAACTTTGCTGAATGCTTTATAAATTCAATAAAGTTGCCACGATTCAAAGATTCAACGGATTCATCATGACCTCTAAATGCACATGTTTGGAATGCAAGCCACCGAACACTTTCAATTGTTGTCTTAAGGCGTAATCGATTCTTTTCTACCACATCTCTAGATGATACATTCAACACTCTGTCAATATGTTGTAAAGGATTCATTAAAGCATCTGAAGCTTTTATGGCACACAAGTGAAATGAATTAGGACCTCCCATATATTGCAAAAGAGCATACCTAGATCCATCATTAACCCTTCTCCAACTATTAAACCCCTCGACAGTAAAAGCAGGACGGGATGGTGGATTAGTTTCAAAGAGAAAACATGGCAAACAATATACTTTATTTTTCCTAGGAGAATGCTCAATCCAAGTGAATTTTTTATACTAACTACTTTGAAATCGACGAGATTGAGTTCTATCTTGAGTGGAAGGAAACACAGGGAGTTTTGGTTGATAAGGTCCCCTTAAGATATAATTTCGTCGAAGCTCATCACGTTCATTAACGGGGTGTTTCCATATTTGAAGACGCAAACCAGGATCTTGTATAAAAGACATATCATCAACCTCTGTTTGCTCAACTCTTGGAAATTTTGAAGGAGGCTCTTGTTGCTGCTCATTAGAGTCTGTAGTCTCGGGACGGGTACTCGTACTCGTAGAAGCTGTCCCAATTTTCGATTTATCATCTTTACGTTTATAAAACGAAAACAAAATTTTCATCTTGAGGGTGGAAAATTCCTACCGTGTAGTGCTTCAACAAACAAAAATAAAGGGCACACCTAATGGCCTATCACCTATAGAGCTGGAGCAGGAAAAAGAAAAAAAAAAAAAAAAAAATTATTGAGGTCTGTGTCTTGTCAAAGAAATGAAAAACTTTTATTGAAATTTATTTCAACTCACTTTAACTCACACACATAGAAAACAAACAAATGTATGCAAATATATCATACTTTTATATTATTTTCTTATAATTTGTTTCTGATTCACATAAGTTCATAACTCATGTTTTTTATTGTTGGGTTGTGTTTCTGTTTAATACCACCATCAATAAACATTCACCTTATGAGTTATGGCTTTGTGATCTTCTATAATCATCTATGTGTTTGGGTGCACCAAACAGGGCTTTGAAATTGGAACATAAGATCATGCTAATTGCTACAGCCAATAGACATTTGGTTTGAAATTAGAACATAAGATCATGATTCATGCTACAGCCAATAGACAAAGTAGATATGTGTTCGGGTGCACCAAACAGGGCTCATGTATAAACTAATAAAAGCCTAAGTTTCAATTCTCCCAAAAAAATAAAAAAATCCCAAATTTAAAGTAACTGAAACAGTGAAACCCTAGATTAAAGTATGCAAATCTCTAAATATATATTTATTAATAAATATCTATTTTTATATTTGAAAGATAGATTTAATATGCACAATTTGTCAATTTCATATACAAATTCATATATATATATATATATATAATCTAAATTTGAGCACTTACAACTTACAAGATCATGGCCCATATTTTCCATTCTAATCCGAGTCTTCAAGTAATCAAGTCTTCAATCTTCTGGTGACTCTGGTCCAATTCCGAAGCTCAAGTGGCTGGGTGATTAATGGGATTTAATCATTTAGTGTTTCAGTCTTCTATATTCAAACCCTAGTGGCCTTGTATAGTTGTATCATGTATGATTTGTATGTATCAGTGAACTCATTCGTGGAGCAGTAGAAGTATGCGTTGAAGTCTTGAATAGTTAGGTCGATAAAGGCTAGTTCCTAGTGGGCTGGGCCATGGATTGGGAAAGTTGGACTGGGCTATAGCTGATAGGTAATAGTACTAGAAATTTTTTTTTTTTTTTTTTTTTTTTGGACCTGGGCTGTAGCCCAGGTTAGCCCACAGGTGGCTCCGCCCATGTGTCTAAGTAGACTGATAGATTATGAACTCTGTTATTTTTTTTCATATTATTTTTAAATATTTAAGAACCATATTGCCAGTATAAGTTTAATGCATCATGTGTAGAAAACGTGCATATATGCTAGGTGAGAATACCGAGTGTCGTTGGCAATGAATTTTTGTTCTTTTTTTATTATTATTTTAAAATATTTAAGAACCATATTGTTAGTATAAAGTTAATGCATCATATGAAGAATACATGTATATATGCTAGGCGACAATACCAAGTGTGGTTGGCAAATTTATGATGTGAAATAATATTTAATGTCATTAAATCTAAACTTTTTCTAAACATCGTGTCTAAGTAGACTATGAGTAGCACGGTGCGAAGTTATTAGATGATTTCACAACTACTATAATGACTTAGAGGGATTGAATAGGTCAACTTGTCCAATTTTTGTGATTGATTAATTATCCACATAATTATTATCAATTAAACATCCACAACAACAAAAATATACATTGTAAAGTAAACAAAGTAAAGTAGCATTTGAGAAATGACACTAGGTTTCTAGAAAGGAAAACTTGATTGGTAGAAATTTACCAATCGTTTGAAAAAAGCCTAGGAGACTCTGCCGTCCTGAGTGAAAGAATCCACTAGTGATGAAGCAAAGTAGAATGGATTATGACACGGGCCATGTACACCCTTTTAGTACTATACCAAGAACCAATTGATGAATGCCATTGGCTTTGCAACTCCTCAGTTGAACAACACTTGACTTATGCTTACTTCCTTGATCTCTATAGAAAGATAGTTGGTAGATCAACAAGCACTCCACCCGCGAATACATTGATCCCTTTATAGTGTGACCAAAACCTCCTCTTCCTTCAAGTCTGAATTTTGTGAAGGCTTATAGAAAATCTACTCTTGTGATCAATTTGTAATCTTATGCAAACTCTAAAGATTCCATCTGGATCAGTAAGAGAACAATACCCAATCAATCTCATGTTTAAGTGTGTGCTTTCAAAAATATACAATCAGATTTTTTAAAAAAAATTCTCAAAAAGTTTCAACGTTCATGTAAAAGATGAAAACTTTGATTTTCCAATTGAGGCTATCAATCACTCTAATATGGTTGCAGATAGGTGATATAGAGTCCTTACAATGGGTAACAAGAGGTTTTAAAATTATGCAAGGACAACCTTGGAAGTTTGGGTAAAAATAGGAAACTCATCCGGTTCGGTTGGGTGATCGAAATATGATTTTCGCACATTCAGGAAAACTTAGCTACTTTGGTTTCAAAGTTCAACCGGTTAGGATTTTGCTGAGAGCAGATCCCAGGAAGTTCAACCGGTTGTGTTTCAAAATTCAACCCGTTGGACTTTTACCTAGAGCATGTTTCATGCAGGAAGTTCAACCAGTTCAAGTATGAAATTCAACCGGTTGGAAGTGATATTTCCAACCTATGCACATACTCACAAATATTATTCACTCAAAGACCAAGGTTCAAAATAAACAAAAATATAACTCAGAATATCAAGTTTTGACTTTGAAATATGTCAACATTACAAATTTATATCTCACATGGCAGATTATGATTTCTATTATTATTATTTTCTTATTATTTAAAAATCATATTGTCTGTATAAGTTTAATGCATGAGTTTTGTTTTATTTATTTTATTTTTATTTTCTATGGAAACAAATATTATATTTTATTTTCAAATTACTTGTCTCATTACATAGAATAAAGAATATACTCCTCACACCAAGCTTATATATTAGCAAATAATTGAACCACATTAAAATGAGTTAACTCATTGAGATATTTTGACTCAAAAAAATTTAGTTAATCTATTTTGTCATTGAATATTATTATAGAAGACACATGTTACATTAATTTGCTCTCACGTATCAGCAAAGAAGTTCTTCCTTATGCGCAATTATTTTACTTTCATTTTTTTCTTTTTTCTTTTTTGGGTAATTTGCATTTACACTCCCTCAAGTTTGTAATAAGAACAGATCAATACAACTTAGGAAGAGTGTAATCCAATTGCCCTCTCAAATTTACAAATTTGAACAACAACACCCCAACCATAATAAGATTACCTAATTGCCCATTAATTTCTGAATGGACTTATTTAAATTATTAAAGTACAATATTAACCTTTATAGGTCATTTTATTTGACCAAAATGACCCTTAGCAAAAAATAAAAATAAAAAAAATTTCAAACTCCACCACTGTGGCTACCAATGACATATGCATAGCGGACCTAGGAATTTTTAATTGGTCGGGCCAAACTAGAAATGTAAAATTAAAATTTTAAAATAACATAAAATCATTGTAAGAATTTATTTTTTGTGCAAGTTTAATATATATTTTTAAAATGCGTCTATAAATAACATGCAATAAAATTGAAGAAAAAAGTTGTCGATTGAATCATTGTTGTTGTCAAGTGAATAATTTATTTATTTTCTTTCTAATTCATAACAAATAATATTTATGTATATGTGTGAATATATGTGTGCGTAAATACAGTATGTTGTTATAAGGATTACCATAATAATTAATATATATATATTTTTTACTAAATTTGATCTTTTATAGTAAGAGGTTCATTGGAATTTGAAGGGGTTAAAAGTAATTTTATTATTAAACTATATTTAATATCAGGGAACCATATAGATTTTTTTAGGGTTAAAAGTAATTTTATTATTAAACTATATTTAATAT